CCGTGCCTTTGTGAGTGTACCGTGCCTTTGTGAGTGTACCGTGCCTTCGTGTGCGTACTGTGTTATCATGTTTGGACTTTGCTTTTGTGTATGTATTTTGCCTTTGTGTATCCCCACCAGCCTGTGTCTGTACACTGACCGGTAGCCCTGGGGAATGTATGTTTGTTTGTGAGATCTTGTACTACTGTTTGAACTGAGATGTGTTTCTATATGAAATTTTATATCAACATCTCTGCTCTTTCGCAAATTGCCAGATGTGCAGTGACCTTGCCATGTGTCATGTTTGAGACACTGTTACCTTATATGGACTTGAATCTACTGTTTAAACTGATAAGTTTTTCTGTCGGATGTTCTCTGTTAACGTCTGTTTTTGGTGACTTGTTTTTGATGTACTATGACTGATGTTATGTGTTGTGTCTGTGACGCTATAACTTACATGAATTTGAATAAAAGAGTATAACAAGGAGATTAGAATCTCCTCAGTTTTTGAAAAAAATATAACCAGGAGATTTAGAATCTCCTCAGTTCAGGGAGCTGACTCTGAGCTGACAGGCCAAGCCAGTGTACTGTGTACAAGTAAATAAAGGGTGACTTGGTGATGGGATACCAGGCTCTGCGCAGTTATTTTCATGGCAATGGGAGAAAACAGTTCTCACTTGCAACAGTCATCTTGGAGTTGGCGTAAACATTTCTGGCATCATGCCTTTGTTTGGGAAGCTTGACTCGTTTTGATCTTGCTGTTGAAGACTGGGCCCAGTATGTGGAAAGAATGTGATATTTTTTCCAGGCAACTGACATCGGGACAGATGAAAAGCAACAAGTAATCCTTCTGACTGCTTGCGGACCCGCAGCATTTTCGGTTATAAGGGGCTTAACTTTCCCAGCGGCACCAGACACCTTACAAGAGTTGGTGGAGTTGATTTATGGAATTTTATGACCCCAAACCACGTCTAATTCTGAGACGGTATTGGTTTTATTGAGCTATTACAGAATTTGGGGAATCTGTATCAGAATTTTTAACGAGGTTGAGACAACTGGCAGAGGTATGTGATTTTGGGTTAACCCCGAATGAGAAGCTGAGAGACTAGTTGGGATGTGGGATTAATGATGTAACCATGCAGAAGCACCTACTAGCTGAAGCCTAACTGGACTTCAAAGAGCCACTGCAACTGACTCTGGAAAATGCAGCAAATGGAGCATGGGAACTACAGGGCATCCCAATGGAAGTGGACATCCTCACCTGTCTGACTGAGGTTAGGGAGCAATACTTGAGTGAAGGCACCCATGGAGCCTCACGGAGGGCATGTCCTGAGCAGAGGGACCCTAGGTCAGCCCACAACAGAACCCCACAACAAAGCTAAGCCTTGACCAAGTGACTAAACAGTTCTTCAGGATCTGGGCCGGCAAAGTTATTGTAGTTGCTGCCGGTATGTGGACTCGCGACAGCAAAGGAATCCTATAAGGCCTGACTTGAGTAAGGAAACCCACAGGCTGGTACCCAGGAGAGTGCACACCGTTGGAAGTCCCCCTACATGTGGCTTGGAACAATTGGGGAGATTGGCCTAGCAACATTCAAATTGGAACCAATTAAAATTAATGTTTGGTTAACTGGTTACCTAGTTCCCATGGAGGTCGATACTGGCGCAGCTGTATCTGTGGTTGCAGAATCTGTCTTTAACAAGATTTGCACAAGACCTCAGCCAGACTGAGAACATACCTTTACAGGTTCAGGGTACAACTTTAGTTCTGGTTTCCTGTGAGAAGCAGTTTTTAGAGTTACCATTGATGGTTGTAAAAGGCTTGGGCCCAGGCCTATTGGGGCGGTATTGATTGAGCAAGATTCACCTGGATTGGCTCAACATTTTTCGATTAGAAAATGGCTGCCTCAGTGAAGTCCTAGGTAAATACCCAAGAGATTTTCAGGAAGGGCTTGGGACAATCAAAGGAGCCAAAGCTGCTTTACATGTTGACCAGGAAGCAATTCTGAGATTTTGCAAGGCCCGCCCAGTCCCATTTGCCCGTCGCACTGAAGTAGAGGCAGAAATCAGGGAGGCTGGAGACCGAGGGAATCAAACCAGTGCAGTTTGTGGAATGGGCAGCACTGGGCATACTGATTGTGCAGCCTGATGGCTCGGTTTGCCTTTGTGGGGATTTTAAACAAACAGTAAACCGCTACTCACAGCTGGATAAATACCCGATCCCTCGCATAGAGGGCTTGTACACAAAGCTGGTGGGAGGGCTGGCCTTTACAAAGCTGGGCATGAGCCACACCTACCTGGAGTTGTGACTGGATGAGGATTCCCAGAAGTACATTACAATTAATAACCATAAGGGCTTACAGCAATATACAAGGCTGCTATCTGGGGTGTAATCAGCCTGTGTCCTTTTCCAGTGGACCATGAAGAACATTTTACAAGGGCTACCCCAGATAGTCATTTACCTGAATGATGTGCTAATAACAGGGAAGACCAATGAAGAGCACTTAGTACTTGGACATTGTGCTTAAACGTTTCTCCCAAGTGGGCATATGGCTTAGAAGGAAAAAAATGTGTTCCAGGTGCCCCAAGTGACCTACTTGACTTACAGAGTCGACAAAACCGGATTAAACTCGTTAGAAGATGAAGTCCATTCGGTAAATTTGGATGATGATTGAGAAGCTGCAAGCATTGTTCATGATTTTTGGCCTCCGAGACGTATTGGTCACGGACAATGGGATGTCATTTACCAGCAGGGAATATGAGTATTTCTTAAAGTCAAACAGCATTTGTCACATAAGGACAGCTCTATACCATCCATTGTCGTAGACTCAGAGTCATACAGCACAGAAACAGACCCTTCGGTCCAACTTGTCCATGCCGACCAAGTTTCCCAAACTATCACATGCCACAGAGATACTAGAGAAGCGGAGCTTATTTGTCTCTTGTGCGTATTCGATCAAATTAGATTACTAATTGCCGAAAGTACATGCAAAGTCCAATCTCTTTGGACAGTATTATGAAAAGAAGTAGCCGAAGTAAAAATCAATCATTGTGCAGCTATTGGGCACATAGTTAATAAATGCTTATCTTGAATCTCCTTTTTAAATAATGCACATAATCAGTCTAGCAGAAAGAGTGGTCCAAACATTGAAGGCAGGCTTAAAGAAGCAGCTTACAGTGTCACTCAAAACAAACTGCCCCAGTTCCTGTTCCTGTTCCTGTTCCCTCATGCAACAACAGGGATAGCGCCTTAGGAAGACTCTGCCCCAGGCTAAACCTGAAACTCCCAGACCTGTGGAGGACAGGGTGAAACAACATCAGGAACACTAATGCTGGCCACATGCCTGCCCTGAGCGAGAGAGACAATTTAATTCAGGGGATGAAGTTTGGTGCTGGAACCATGGGAATGGCTCTGTATGGGTATGAGGCAAAGTGCACGTGAGGTCAGGTCCCGCAACATACAAAGTTCTGGTAGGTGATACAGTCCTGAACAAACGTAAGGATCAGCAGAAAGCGGTTACCTTGCAAACACTGCAGGAGCAAAACATAACCTGGCCCCTCAGAACAGCCAGAAAGACCTGTCAGAGACCACAGGGTTCTCCCTGCCATCTGGTGTTGAGGAAATTTCAGAGTCTGAGACAGATGCAGCCTCGATACCACTGCCACTGGAAGAAGAGGTGGTAACTCTGCCGAGATGCTCCAGACACGAGCAGGGTTACAGCCCGTGTCAGAGTCCGAGCCAGAGGAACCGGACCTGGGGCGAAAATGTCACAGGAAAAGCTACAAGAGAAAGACCAAGACCTGGGGGGGAGGGGTGGGAGGAGGGACGTAGTGATTGGAACCAGGAGGACCTTGTGGACTATGAGACCCTTCATTGGGTTTGTGAACCTGGGCCAATCAGGAAAGCCCCTGGCTGACCAATATAACGAAGAGATTTGGAATCTCCTCCGAGCTGGCTGACCCAGGGGACTTTTGCAGGGGCATGGCAAGGGCTGGAAAGCCCTGAGTGGGATTGCAGCAGTGGAAAGGAAAGTTGGATTCTCAAGTTATCTTTTTTTCTTATCGTATTCTAAGTTAATATGAATGGTGCCATGTATGTACAGCAAAGGTACACACTTTTCGCTGTATTTTTCCATTGAATGCACATGACAATAGATGATTCAATGCAATTACCTACCTGCACCCTTGTCTCAGCCCATCTGCTGCTGAAACCCTCTCCAGGCCTTTGTCAACTCCAGACTCGATTTCTCTAACACAATCTTGGCTTACCCTCCAGTGTAGCACCCTCTACATACTTCATCCTTGGCTCCTGTTTACTTTATGCTCCTGTCTTAAAGACAGGAAGACCACAAACAAACAAAGTAATTCACCAATATTCAATGTACAACTAAAACCTGAGTGGAAGAGAGGTCATCCAAATCTCTGCTGCCTTTGTTCTAACTTGCACCATGTCTCACTCACCCATCACCCCATTTGCTTCCTGACCAACATTGGTTCCCAGTCAAAGTACATCTTGATTTTAAAATTCTTTCATCATCATCTTTCTATCTCTGTAATCTCCTCTAACTCCAGTGTCTGTGCTACTCCAATTCTAACCTCTAAGGTATCCCTGATTTAATCACTCCACCATTGACAGGCTGCCCATACTCTAAGCTCTGGAACTGCCTCCCTATGTCACCCTGTCCCCACCTCTTTCTCTCATTGATGGGCTGAACGGACTACTTTGCTCATTTTTCAGTCTCTAAAATGTTTTTTGAAACCTACAACTAACCAAGCTTTTGGTCACCTGACTTACCATCTCCTTGTCTAGCTCTGTGTCACTCTGTGATGATGCTTTTGTGGAATGCTTTGGCATGTTTTACTGCATCAGAGGCACTTTTTCTCTACTGTCAGTGCCTCTCCCATCAAAACCTTTGTCAACTGAGAGGAAGTAGACTGGGCCACCCTGCTATCTGACAGCTGGCGGCTTGAGACAATATCCCTGTATTTCCCTCAGGCAGATTACACACTGCCTTCACAAGGAGCCTCTGCAAAAGATCATCAGAACTAGAAGGAGGCCAATCAGCCCATCTAACCTGCTGTAGCATTCAGTAAAATCTTAGCTGATTGGTCTGTGGCCTCAGTTCCACTTCCGTGCCCACCTTCTGTACATACACATGATAACACAGTGTTAGTAATGGAAGCTTTCACTTTTAACTCCTTCATGGAATGTGGGTCTTGCAGGCAAGACCACCATTTATTGCACTACCTCTAACTGCTCTTGAGGAGCTAATGGTGAACTGTTTTCTTGAACCAGTGCAATTTGGTAGTTTGAGGGAGACATTAGGAGTTGACCACATTGCTGTGGATTTGGACTCACATCAGCCAGAAAGGGGTGGAGCCAGTAAATTTCCTCCTCAATGCACATTTGTAAACCAGATGGGTTTTGACAACAAACTGGTAATTTCATGGCCCAAATAGATGATACACATTCTTTATTGTACATTATTTCATTAAATGAATTAAAGTGCCCTGATACCATAAGTAGGAAGTCCACGCTTGTTTCTGGATAGCTATTCCTGTAATAAAATCACTCTGTTACCAGGAGGAAAATGCAAAGCTGCACCTGTCAAACAAACATGAAAGTACACATCTAATAAATTATCCATTGACCTGCTCAGTTTTACTATTCCTTTTTATCCTAACACTTGGACACACAATATTCATCTTAATATGTTATGAAATGCATATTTTATTCATAGCACCATCATTAATTCAGAAGCCTATCTCCCTGTCAAACTTTAAAATCTTTATTATCTGACCACTATAAATTTAAAACAAAACTGTAAATGTCATCTTGTGGAGGAATTTATAACAATATAAATTAACACTATCTTAATTGATTGCAACAGTGAAGTGTCCATAAATTATTTTAATGGATCCTGTGTTTCATTAAAGCCAATTAAATCTGTTGCAGAGAATAAGTTAGTTCTGCTAAGTCAACTAAATTCTTGCAGTGCTCTATATGAATAGAGCAATTCCATTCAATAAATTCTGTGACCCCATTTTCTGCAATTTTGGTGTCCATGTTGCATGACTTTCATGTTGTGTTACAGTAAATATTACTGCAACACTGGCCTTCTAGTCTGGCCAGCAATCTTATTCTATTCCCTCCAAGATTTGCAAAAGCTACTGTATAATGACAATTAATGCAAAGGAAGCCTTTTCAAACTTAATCTAAAAGTCATCCTCCTATTCTATGGAGCCTTCATTTTTAAATAGGACAAATCCATTAGCATGTAGATGCTACTCTGAAGACATCATTTATTTTTACTACTTGTTCATGGGATGTGGGCATTGCTTGCTGCATCAACATTTATTGTTCATCCCTAATTATCTTTGGGAAAGAAGGTCATGGTGATGCACTTTGAACTGCTGCAATCCGTAGAGAGTAGATACATGTTGTTAGAAGGGAAGAGCATTCCAGGATTTTGACATAACAAATATAGGATAACCAATTTTTGATTTTGACAATTTTGTCTGTAGTACAAAAGATTACTCCTATCTGTGAAGGCTGATGTCTGTCATTGCTCACCGTGCTTATGAGCTAAATTGTCAATGATTTTCTGGCTGTAAGAGGTGGTCCCTGACATATGGGAGTGTCTTTTCATGGGGAAGAAGATTCTGTAGCGTTAGTTGACTTAAGAGTGTCAACAACAAAGTCCTAGAGGTCTAAAGCTATCCTATTAATGGTAGGTTTTTATATCCAGCATTTTTGGGACAGAGTTAAAATGGTAAAGTGGAAAATGGGTGATTAAAACAGGCAATGTAGTAACTCCTTCATTGAATATTTCACCTCCAACCACAATGTGACAAGTTCAGATTTTGTCACTTTTGAGCCATTTAATATTTATTATAGTGTGACATTCCAACTCCAAGGGCAAAAGGCAGAGGTCTGTGCTCAATTGACCCAACTTTAACCATGACATCTACCAGGCTGAACACGGTATAACACTGGAAGTGATTGGTAAACTTTGCCACAACTTTCCATGGGAGAGTATGTGCTGAAATTACATGTAGCACATAATTTTTTGTGCATTTTATTTGTAATATCATCCATGAATGAAGTTGCTTCCATTCACAGAATTCTGTCCTTTCCAAAGACCCTGAATGAAAAGGACACAGAAAAGGCAATTGCACTTGCTTTTCAAATGTGGAGCGAGGTTTCTCCTTTCAATTTCACTGAAGTTCCTGCAAATGTCAGTGCTGACATTAAAATCGGTAAGTGAGAGGTTTGTTTTATTCACTTATGGGATGAAGGCCTTACTGACTGGGCCAATATTTATTGTCCATCTCTAGTTGCCCCGTGAGTTGCCTCCATGACCTGCTGCGGTTCTGGAACTTGAAAGTGGTGGTGCCCCCATGTATCTGCTGCCCTTGTCCTCAGTGATAGCGATCATAGGTTTAGAATTGCTGGCTAAGGAGCCTCGGTAAATTTTTGCAGTGCATCTTGTAGATGGTACAAACTACTGCTTCTGAGTACCAGTAATGGAGGGAGTGGATGTTTGTAGATGTGATGCCAATCAAGTGGGCTGCTCTGTCCTAGATGGTGTCAAGCTTCTTCAGTGTTGTTGGAGCTGCACCCATCCAGGCAAGTGGGGATTATTCCATCACACTCCTGACTTATGCCTTTGTAGATGGTGGACAGGCTTTGGGGAGTCAGGAGGTGAGTTACTTTGCTGCAAGGTTCATAGCCTGTGACCTGCTCTTGTAGTTTATTGATATCAAAGATGATGAAAATACTCAATATAGAAATAGAGGATGTCATTGATAAACTTACTGAATTCACCACAGTTCAAATCTGAAGACACTCTATCTGGTTTACCTTTCCTCCTTCAAAAGCCTTCTCAATGTTTACCTCATTGACTAGGTCACCTGCTGCCTTTCCTAACTTCACTAAACAACATGTAGTCTTGTCTCACTTTGTTTTGTTAAAGGTGTTTACAATGATATTTTCAGAAGTGAATACTCATCCGAGTTCATTTAAACCATAGATGGATAAAAGAGAATCTGAAACTAAGACCAAACCTGAGCACTTTTAACTAGTCACTCCAAGTTGCAAATTGGATATCTTTTATGGATGCAACAGGATAAATGTAGAGAATTTGATGAATATGATCATTGATATTATGTTATTCTTCTCCTTGCTAGGATTTTATCCCATAAATCACACTGACTGCTTGGAAGTTCCTTCACATCCATGTTTTGATGGGATAACTGGAGAACTAGCACATGCTTTCTTTCCATCCCATGGAGAAATCCATTTTGATGATTTTGAACATTGGATATTGGGTAAAACTCGCTTCAGCTGGAAGAAAAGTATGTTGTATAAAATTAATCTGTGAACAAAGTAAAAAGTACTGAAATATAGTTGAGTTCTGAAAAAGGGTTGCTGGACTCAGTGTTAATTTTGTTTCTCTCTCACAGATGCAACGAGACCTGCTGAGTTTCTCCAGCAATTTCTGTTTTTGCTTCTGAAGTATAGTTCATTGGTTCTTCTTTATTCTGCTAACTGCATACTTGATTAAATAAATGTGCAGAGTTCTCCCCTTCCTTGTGTAGCATGGGCAACAGCAGAAAGTTAAGAAAATACAGCAAGAATGAAAGAAATCAGAATTGTCATGTCAAAAAAGTAAAGGTTTTGCATTCTTAATCAGATACTTGCTATTAAGCAGCAACCACCTATTTCCATGTATTAGCGCCTCATCATTAGCCCATCTCCCTTCATTTCTACACCACTTCCAATTCTCCTCTCCTTCCTTGGGAAACTAGATGGTGCAAATTCTCTGATGGTATTGCCTCAATTGGCAGTCCACAGGACTTCCTCTCCATCACTCCATCTACCAGCACCTCCAGGGCCCTGCCCACGAAGGAGGGTTCAAGTTTCCCTTTCTGGGTCATGTCCTCAGTGATGGCCATGCAGCACCAGTGAGGTATTCCACCAGTTCCTGGCTTGCAGTGTCTGAAGTGTGTGCAGCTGAGGTTGAAAGTATGGTGTCAGCTGCTTTAATACGCCAAGGTCCTGACAATGGGCCATCATGTTTGCCTATCCTGTCACATGATGCTTTGAAACATTACCCAAATAGCCCAGCTGCATAATTAATGAGGAGAAAGTTGAAGATTCTAAGCAAAGCCACCACAGATGACCAGGCATCACAAGTCTCGCTCAAAAAATCCGTTTAACTGAAAATGGGAACATTCTACCCTGCAGTTTGTAATGTGGCAAATTATACACGTTATCTGTTTGTACATATGGCATAATTTCTGTTACTTCACTGCTTTAACACACACTCAAAATAATAACGTCCCACGTTATAAAATGGACCAACTCATTTAAAACAGAAGGTGAGATTTATACTGTGAATGTCCTTTAAAAGCTGCTGGCCTTATAGTTGAGGTGTTGTTGACATTGCAGGCTTTGACTGAATGCTAATCCTCCCTCAATCAGCTGCTGACACTTCAGGTAATATCTTTGCTTAAATTGGAATTCCAGGTAACTTACCATTCTCGATGGCTAAACACAGAATTGACCCAGACCAGGATCAATATGTAGTCTATCCAGTGAGCTGATCCCAACTGAAGTAGCAATTATGCTGCTTTTTTTTTGAAAAAAGCAAAGTGCAACATCACTGTGTGGTGGCAGAGGGAAATATTAGTTGGTGTTTCTGATCTTGGTAGATCTTGAGTAACCCCTAGTTTCCTATTTATCTTTGGTAAAACAATATTGCTTAATAAATTTTAATGATTCCAAAATAAACATTAGTTTAATTTTATAAATGTGATTCTAAATGTGATTGATCTCTTCCACAGTTGTCTGGCTCACTGATTTGGTACACGTTGCAGCCCATGAGATTGGACACAGCCTTGGATTAATGCACTCTCAGAACTCGAATGCACTTATGCACAAAAATGCTACTTTAACAGGAAAAGATAAAATCAGTCAGGACGATATTTGGGGGATTTGGAGGCTGTATGGTAAGGCTTGAGGTTGTGGCACTCCCCTCATCTGTACCAGTAGAGTTGTGAACAGTGACAGTATCATGTGCAGGTGTGATACAGATTTACAGTTCTGGTTCCCATGTAGCAGGTTTGATGTCTAGGCTTCACTGTCAGAGAAAGAATAATGGAAGCCATGCACAACTCCCAATACCCAACTATTTCCTTTAGTTGAAACGTCCTGCTGCTAAGAAACCTCTGCCCACTTGGCCAAGCTGCTAGTGGTGTAGGCGACATCCCAAGTGTGGATGAAGAATTCTGCAGATGAAAGCCCCGTGAGGAACTAACTTGAGCCTTCAGTTACTGGACAACAAACTAAGCACCAGTGAATTTGAAGGATACTAATAACTTACTGTAACTCTGGAAGTATTTAACATCCATTTTTCCATTGTCATTTCAGATCATTGAAGTAAATTCTGAGCTTTCAATGTTAATTGATGTTGGTTAAACAACCTCCAGGCTGTGCCACCAAGGGACAAGTAGTATACATGAGATGAACAATGGCTAGTATTTCCATTGATAGTTTTATTTTGCAAAAAAATTCAAACTTTCCATTGATATTTTTAAAGGTGAAAATACAAGGTAAATCCATAACAACAAGGTGTGGAGCTGGATGAACACAGCAGGCTAAGCAGCATCATAGGAGCAGAAAGGCTGATGTTTTGGGCCTAGACCCTTCATCAGCTGGGATTCCCAGTTACCAGATTAGTTCCATACTGCATTTTCGATTTGAATAAGGGAAATGATTCCACTGTAGATTGAACTGAACATTCTAGATTAATCAGTTCTCACTTTAGCTGCAGTCTCAAAGCAGCAAAGTTAGGTACATTTCAAAGCAGGCTTCAACATTTGTGCTTTGAGAATGCTGATAACCTCCCCCAGGTTCCCATCCACCTACAGCTTCAGTGCTTTCTCAGTCTCCTATGGTTTAGTTGGGTTGTTCAGTCTTGCAGCACACATGGCATCCTTCCAGAGAAAGGACTGTTAGTTCTCATCTGACTAATCTTACAGGGCCTTCGTAATAAGATGCTGTATACTGAGCTCTTCAGTTCTTCCAAAATTAAAACAAAACATTGACAGCCGTCACTAATAAGTCCAGTAGGGAATTTGAAAAACTGTTTTACGCAGTTGAACTTACACCAGAAATGGCAATTAAGAAGAAATAGCCAGGATGTATTCACGAGGAAGCTGTATAAGAATGTAGGAGAGAAAGGATAATGATAAGAGTTACAAGGACATAAACTGAGATTTATGTCGCATCTTTAATGTAATGAAACATGCCAAAGTACTTTGCAGGAACATTTTACACTGAATGTATGATACTGGACCATGTAAGGAGATATTAGGACAGATGAGTAAAAGCTTGGTTAAAAAGCTAGCTTTTAAAGAGCATCGTAAAGGAAGAAAGTGAGACGGAGAGGTGTAGCAAATGGAATTCCAGAGTTTAGGGTCGAGGGAATGGAAGACATGGCTACCTGTGATGGAGTAATTATGGTTGGCAATGCAAAACAGGCCTAAATTGAAGAAGTGCAGAGATCTCAGAAGGTTGTGGGGTTAGAGATTACGAACACAGGGAGGGGATAGGCTGGGAAATAATTTGTAAACAAAGGATGAGAATTTTAAAGTTGTTGTTTGATATAGCACAGGGGTGATCAAGGAATGGGACTCCCAGCAGGTTGAGATATACAGGCAGCAGATCTTTGGACAACCTCAAGTTGGTGGAGGATAACACGTGAGAGGCCAGCCTGAAGTGGATTAGAGCCAGGCATCTGTAGAAAAAGCATGAACGAGGATTTCAGCAGCGGAAGATCTGAGACAGGGCTGAAGCCAAGCGGTGCTACTCAGGTGGAAATAAGCATTCTCAAGATGTCTCAAACTAGGAAGTTCATCTCAAGATCAAATAAGACACTGAGTTTGTAAACAGATTGGCTAATTTCAGATAGGTGCCAGGGCGAAGGATGGAGTTGGTCATTTGGGAGTGGAGTTTGGAGCAGGGATTGAAAACAATCACTTCAAACTACTCAAAATTTAACTGAGGATATTTCTCATCTGGTACCTGATATGGAATGAGCAGTCTGATAAAGTAACAATGTTGGAGAAGTTGAGAATATGGTGGTGGTGGGATGGAGCAGGTGTAGTCAGTTTACTTGTGGAAACTAACAGCATGCCTTCAGATGCTGTCACTGAGGGGTAATGTAGAGACCAGAGCTAGGAGGAGGCTAAGATAAAACCCTTGGTTCCATTTTTTACCGACAGAATGGTAACAATGTGAGAGAAAACTCATTCAGCTTAACCAACACGGTTAGCTAAAAGAAAATCGGAGCTAGTTTGTCTGGACAGTAAAGACCAGCTTGAGTTTGTTGTCCCAAATGATCAGTTTCTGTGCTATAAAATCTGAGTGATCGATAGATGGAATTTGTGTCATTTGGTGATCTACTTTTTGTTCTACGAAACTGTGGCTAAGAAAGGTTGTAAGGAGAAACTTGGGAACAATAGACCTGTGAGTCTGACTTCAGTTGTGGGTAAATTTTTGGTGGTGATTGTAAAAGATAGGATTTATGAACATTCAGAGAGACAAATATTGATTAGGGATAGTCAACATGGTTTTGTGTGAGGGAAATCGTGTCTCACAAACTTAATTGATGTGGAGGTGCTAGTGTTGAACTGCAGTAGGACATAGAACATAGAACAGTATAGCACAGTACAGGCCCTTCGGCCCATGATGTGCCAAACTTTTACCCTAATCCTAAGGTCTATCTGACCTCCACCCCTACCTTATACTATCAGCAATAGACAAGATCAAAAATCACACAACACCAGGTTATAGTCCAACAGGTTTATTTGAAATCACTAGCTTTTGAAGCATTGCTCCTTCCTCAGGTGTGGTGAGAGAGGAGGTATCAAGACACAGAATTTATAAGTACATGATCAAAAGATCATACAACAGATGCAAATGTATTGAACATAATTTATAAACATAAAATGGCTGGCTGAATCCCTGCTGTTAAATCTTTAATCAGTTAGAAGGGAGATGCAGGTTTCAATTGATTAAAATGCAAATCCCAGAATTTCTTTCAAGTCACTGCCCCGAAATAACTAAAGGTTTTGCCAATGTATACAAGAGGTGACATCTCAGGTCAAACAATGCTTTTGGGTGAGAGGCCTTGTTTAGAATCTGTCTGTGTTTTAACCTGGAGTCAGACTGGTTTTATTTCCAAAGCAGGAATTTATAAAATGCCCCATTGACCGACTGTGTCTACAAATTGTGAGCTTTTTGAAAAAAAATTGATTGTATCTGCAAAAATAAATGTGCAAATGCAAATTCACCCAATAGATTTATATGTATGTGTGAGTGAGGGAGAGAATGTTGTGTGTGTGTGTGTGTGTGTGTATGTTTGTCTGTGAGGGCGTGTTGTGTGCCGGAGGGAGAGAGTATGGTGGTGGGGTCACCTGTCGTGCAAAATGAACTCAAGATGATGGTTGAGGCCATCCTCATGGGTACCAAACATATACACATGCACATGCGCCCGCGAGCGCGCGCACACACACACATAGTCTCTCTCCCTCTTAGTCGCGCACACATACAGTCTCTCCCTCACTCACTCTCACTCTTTCCCTCACACACACACACACACGCGCACGCGCGCTCTCTCCCTCACTCTCACATACATATAAATCTATTGGGTGAATTTGCATTTGCTCATTTGTTTTTACAGATACAATCAATTTTTTTGGTCAGAAAGCTCACAATTTGTAGACACAGTCGGTCAATAGGACATTTTATAAATCCCTGCTTTGGAAATAAAACCAGTCTGAGTCCAGGTTAAAACACAGATTCTAAACAAGTCCCCACCCCTAAAATGCATTGTCTGACCTGAGATGTCACCTTGTGTATATATTGGCAAAACCTTTAGTTATTTCGGGGCAGTGACTTGAAAGAAATTCTGGGATTTGCATTTTAATCAATCGAAACCTGCATCTCCCTTCTAACTGATTAAAGATTTAACAGAAGGGATTCAGCCAGCCATTTTAGGTTTATTGAATGCATTTGCATCTGTTGTATGATCTTTTGATCATGTACTTATAAATTCTGTGTCTTGATACCTCCTTGCTCACTAACACCTGAGGAAGGAGCAATGCTTTGAAAAGCTAGTGTTTTCAAATAAACCTGTTGGACTATAACCTGGTCTTGTGTGATTTTAAACTTGAATGAGTTTTTTGAGGAAATTACCAAAAAGATTGATGATGGCAGAGCAATAGACGTTGTTTATTTGAATTTTAGTAAAGCCTTTGACAAGGTTCCACATGGTACTTTAATTAATAAAGTTCGGTCACATGAGATTCAGAGTGAGCTTGCCAATTGGATCTGATAATGGCAGGAGACAGAGTGATGGTGGACGGTTGCTTTTCAGACTGGAGGCCTGTCACCATCAGTATTCAACAGGAATCAGTTATGGGTCCTCCTTTGTTTGTCATTTATATAAATGATTTGGATGAGCATATAGAAGACATGATTAGTCAGTTTGCGGATGACACCAAAATTGGTGGCATTGTAGACAGTGAAGAAGGTTTTCTAAGAATACAAAGGGATCTTGATCAAATGGGTCAATGGGCTGAAAAGTGGCAGATGGAGTTCAATCTGGATAAATGTGAGGTATTGCATTTTGATGCATCAGACTTATACAATTAATAGTAGGACCTTGGATAGTGTTAGAGAACAGAGGGATCTGGGGTGCAGGTACATAATTCTTTGAAGTTTGCATCACATATAGACATGGAGATTAAAAAGGCATTTGGCATGCTTGCCTTCAATGCTCAATCCTTTGAATATAGGATTTGGGAAGTCATGTTGAGGTTGTACAGGACATTGGTGAGGCCTCTTCTGGAATTCTGTGTCCAGTTCTGGTCACCCAGATATAGGAAGGATATTACCAAGCTGAAGAGGGTTCAGAAGAGATGTTGCCAGCTATGGAAGGTTTGAGTTATGAGGAAAGACTGGATAGACCGGGACATTTTTCACTGGAGCGTAGGAGGTTGAGAGGCAACCTGATACAAGTTTATAAAATAATGAGAGGTATAGATAGAGTTGATAAGAGTTGTCTTTTCCCTAGGATGGGGGATTTCAAGACTAGGGGGCACATTTTTAAGGTAAGAGGAGACAGTTTTTAAAAAGACATGAGAAGCAATTTACAGAGGGTAGTTGACATGTGGAATGAACCTCCTGAGGAAGTGGTGATTGTGGGTACAAATACAATGTTTAAAAGACATTTGGATAGGTACATGAATAGGAAAGATTTGGAGCAATATTGGCCAGGACCAGGTAGGTGAGACTAATTTAGCTTGGGATTATGTTCGGTCTGGACTGGTTGGGCTGAAGGGTTGTGATGTATGACTGTATGAATCTATTTGAATAATTGTGAGAATGCCTGCAGATAATGCACCATCCATATTCAATTATCAAATATTTAGCTTATTCCCAATCAGTTGTGATGTTCATTACTTAGTTCACATTATCCATCTATTTTCTGTATTCTGGGGGACTTTTCAGGGTTGTTACCTGTGACACAGTTTATTACGCTAATATGCTGCTAAGAAGAAAGTGGGAATTTCCTGACACAGGAAGGTGAAGAAAATTAGCCTGTGAGCAATACATTGGGGTGGGGGGCAGGGGTGAGGGAGGAGTGAAGGCATGCTTGAGTAATTAGAGGTATAATCACTGATAACTTATTTCTTAATTTAAAGGTTGCCTAGACAGACTTGATGAATGTCCTTCCTGGGCACAGATGGGTTTCTGTGAAAAACGTCATTCTTTCATGAAGAAGCATTGCCCCTTAAGCTGTGACTTCTGCAGAGGTACAGTTGCATCCGATGCCAATCACTCACCACTTCTTTCCATCTTCGTGTTTTCATCCATACTCAGAGTTACTGTAGGCTCACACTCTTTCTAACTCAGGTTGGCGCAGTGGGCTGCGTAAAATCATTGCCATTTACTGCACGATAATGAGCTCTCTTTCTGATTGTGAACCCACAAATTCCATTACAACAACAACATAATTCCTGTAGGGATTTAGGTCTCAGTTAGAAATAACAGAATCACCTTCTAGCACAGGGTGTTGTGTGCTGTATCTATCTTGATAACTTCACATCTATCAGCCGTTCCATGTATGTGCAAGTGACTTTCAGCCTTAGATAGAAAACTACCAATTCAGACCAGAATTTTATCATTAAATGTTGAGAAAAGACAACCCTGCATCTAAAACAGACACACTGATTGCGTTATCTGTTTGAATTGAAATTTAAAATCTCAAGTGGGGAAGGTGTGGTATTATCATTGAGTAAACCTGCCTGGACTTGGGTTACTGCTATCCCTGGCACAGGTTTGAAGTATTTTTCAATGCAAGGTAAGAAAAACTGTTTGTGAAATGGGCAACCAATTACTATTAGTGAGATTAGAAAAGCTATTCACCAACAAGCTCTTGTATTTTTACACCTTTCATTGTAATAAATGCCCAAGGTAGTTAACAGGAAGAATATAAAACAGAATTTGATAATGAGCCACATCAGGAAATATTAAGGTAGATTGGTAGGTTTTAAGTAGTGTCCTAAAGGAGGAAAGTGAAGTAGAGGGTGGGGAGGCACAGGGAGGGAATTCTAGAACTTTTAGAGCCTTGGTGATGAAGGGGTGAAACAAATCAGCCATACTGCAGAGATGGGTGCAGTTATATGTAGATCTGGAGATGGTTACAGGGATAGAAGCAAGGCCAAGTACAGATTTGAAACAAGAGCATGAATTTTAGAATCGAGATGCCCCTTAACTGGGAGTCGGTGTAGGTCAGGAAATGCAAGAGTCAATGGAACTTTGTGCCAGTAAGGACACAGGAAGCAGCATTTTGGATGATCTCGTGCTTATGGAGTGTGGAATGTTGCATGCCATCTAGGAAAGCACTGGAATAGTCATGTTTAGAGGGAAAAAAGCATAGATGTGGGATATAGCAGTTTCCTGTGATTCGGATGTATACAGTCTGTTTTTCATATGCTGTTCAACATTGCTTTGTAACTTGGCCAAGGATTTGCAAAATTCATCACAAGTTCTGTCATTGTAGATTTGAGAGGATTCTGGGACTTGGAAATCCCAGCTTTTAAGTATTATTCTAATTTTCATTGTTCAAAAAATACACTGAATCTTATGTTTAATAAAAGTGATAAATAATGGCTTAAATGCTCTGCAGATCCACCCATTCCAACCAATGCACCTACACCTGTACCCCCCAGGACTAAGGTTAGACGAGTTTCCAAAGGACGGAAGGTTACAGTTCAATGTGGACGGAAGGTTGCTCATAAGAAAGGGATATTGAAGTAAGTAATGCTTTTTCAAATAATCTATAGTTCAGTAATTTCATATAATTTACTTTTCACTTGGGCAGCCAGTATGAGCACCGAGAATGACCAAATGGTTATGGTTCCTTTTACTTTGCTGCAGGGACATATTTTCATTCTAACCTGAGGATAGCACCTCCATGTAAACATGATTTCAGCAAGCAATCTATATGGTTTCTCCTTGTGAGATTACAAACGTACTACCAACTATCAGGTGCAGGTAACTCCTGTGGGCACATGCCTGCTAGGAGTAGGCTTAAGATTCATTTGTAGAAGATGTATCAGTAACAGAGACAATTTTGTCGTGAATTTAAAACTTTGATCAGTGTCAACATACTTGGCATCTAATCCACCAATTTTTAAAATCTGCATGACATTAATTGCTTGCCCACTCCTCAGTGGGAAAACGTTACTGGTCTCTGTTGGTTTAGTATCTCTTAAACCCCTTTTTCCCATGCTTTTATCTCCTGGCACAGTTGAGACTAATCTAAGTACCAAGGACTTACACAGTTAATAGTAGGACTGTTGCCAAACATAGAGATTGAGGAAGGGTCACTAGACCCGAAATGTTAACTCTGTTTTTTCCTTCACAGATGCTGCCAGATCTGCTGAGCTTTTCCAGCAACTTTGTTTTTGTTCCTGATTTACAGCATCCGCAGTTCTTTTGGTTTTTATTTAAAGAAATTAAGGATGCCAGTGCATAGTTCCTTGAAAGTGGAGTCACAGGTTGACAGGGTGGTGAAAAAGTATTTGGTATGCTTGCTTTCATTGAGTATAGGAGTTGGGAGGTCATGTTGTGGCTATACAGGGCATTGGTGAGGCCATTTTTAGAATACTGCATACAATTCTGGTCTCCCTGCTATAGGAAGGATGTTGTTAAACTTGAGAGGGTGCAGAAAAGATTTACAAGGATGTTGTCAGGACTGAAGAGTGAGCTACGGGGTGAGACTGAATAGTCTGGAACGTTGGAGGCTGAAGGATGATTTTATAGAGGTTTATAATATCATGATAGGGTGAATTGCAAAGGTCTTCCTCGTAGGGTGGGGGAGTCCAAAACTAGAGGGCACGGGTTTTAAGGTGAGAGGGGAAAGATTTAAAAAGGACCTGAGGGGCAACTTTTTACACACAGAGGGTGGTGTGTGTCTGGAATGAACTGCCAGAGGAAGTGGTGGAGGCTGGTACAATTACAACATTTAAAAGGCATCTAGATGGTAACATGAATAAGAAGGGTTTAGAGGGATATGGGCCAAATGGGAGTAGATCAGATTGGCATATCTGGTCAGCATGGATGAGTTGGAGCCAAAGTGTCCGTTTCTGTGCCGTGTGACTCTACGATCAGAATTATTCATGTTCCTTATGAAACTGAACAATATTGTCCCTGAGGTGAGCTGTCTGTGGAACCAGGCCACATCAATTGATGTGAAAATTAATCAGTTTATAAGAGTTTGATTTAAATGATGATTAATTTGCACATGATCAAGGCATTATCAAATCCCCAGGAGCCAGATGCCTTGCTCATCAGAATCCCATGCAGTAGTTTGCACAATTATGTCTTTAATCATGAATGATAAATAGTAGAAACGGATTTAAATACTGTGGATAGTTTAACCTTGATGAATGAGTTAGGTTTGCACAATTTTGGTGAAAGATGTTAGCATAGTGGTAATGTCACTGGGACTAGTAATTGAGAGATCCAGGCTTGTTGATTAGAGGACACAAGATCAAATGCCACCATGGCAGCTAATGGAAATTTAACTAAATCTGGAAGATGAAGCTTGTCTCAGTAATGATGACCATGAAACTACCATCAATCATTCTAAAGTCCCTTCTGGTTCCCTAATGTCCTTTAGGGCAGAAAATCTTTACCCAGGCTTGCCCACGTGTGATTCCAGGTCCACAATAAGATGGTTGATTCTTTTTGCTCGGAAATGCTGAGTAAGCCACACAGTTCAAGGGCAATTAAAGGATGGGTAACAAACATTGGCCTTGCCAGTGACACCCACGTTCCATAGAAATGTTTTAAAAATTGTGTGGCCAAAGACAGCCCTCCAGTTGTAGTAGTAAAAATAGCTGAACTAATGTTTGAAACTCCCTTGTGTAGGAAATGGAAGGGCTCTTGAGGAAGCTGCTGAAGGCCACTCTCCAGAGATAATGCCCCCTGCACCTGCATCTTATTGACCTTTGCCATCAAAGGCTTAAAGGTTTGCCTGGTTATAGATCATAGAATCCCTACAGTGTGGAAACAGGCCCTTCGGCCTGACAAGTCCACACCGACGCTCAGAGCATCCCACCCAGACCCATTCCCCTATAACCCACCTAATCTACACATCCCTGAACACTACAGGCAATTTAGAATGGCCAATCCACCCAACCTGCACATCTTTGGACTATGGGAGAAACCGGAGCACCTGGAGGAAACCCACGCAGACATGGGGAAATGTGAAAACTCCACACAGACAGTCGGCCGAGGCTGGAATTGAACCCAGGTGCCTGGTGCTGTGAGGCAGCAGTGCTAGCCACCATGCTGCCCCTACTGGATCTTGAATGTCCTATGTAACTTAGTCTGAACTGAATACAGCAGTTGCTAGGGAAGCCATTGATACCCTCACCACCTCCTGACTGATGCTTTATTGCCATAACCATCCCCTGGCTAGTTGAGGTCTTGAATATGTGCACTGTGTTCCAGATGTAGTGAGGGGTATTTCTCAGGTAGACATAAAAGATCACTGCTGTCTATCTAAATGGCATTATGTGGCATTCCTATAATCAATATATATCCCTCAACCAACATCCTAAACAGATTACCTGGTCATTATCAGATTGCTGTTTGTGGGTACAAATTGGCTGTCATCTTACCATCATTACAAAACAGTGGCTAGACTTCAAATATGATGTACTGGCTAAACACAGTTTGGGCTGTCCTGATTGTGTGAGAAGTGGTACAGAAGTACAAATTTGTTAAAGACAGATTTTTAGTCAGTAAAGGAACTGACGGTCATTTTGGGGCGGGATTGGAAACTGGAGTTGAGAATGATCAGGTCAGTCATGATCTCCGTTAACAGCAGAGCAGAATTGATAGGCTGAAGTACGTCCTGCTGTTCGTTATATACTGCGAACAAGATCCAGAGTACTCCTGCGATCCAAAGTCTTTGTTTTGAGACACGTGTAAGAAATTTGGACAGGTTGCTTGTCTCATTACCACTGACTTGATGTGGCCTGCGAACTGATTACATAAAGCACTGACAGAAACAGAGACCCAGAAACTAAAGGAAGGACTCATTCAGCTCATATCATTGGCCTGACTTGTGTAACTGTTCAGACATAAGCCAAGACAAATAATATTTGTGGTTTCTCAAGAATCCAGTGTTTGCTGGCTAGGCATGCAAGTGGCATATTTTATGTGAACAGTTGATTTACATACACTCAGTGTAAACAGCAATTGGAAATTAAAAAATAAATTAACGAAGGACAGTACCCCATCTGCATACAATAAATTCATTATAGTTGGGACAAGAGCAGGATTACTGTAAGTGATCCTGGGCTCCAGAAGGACAAACAAGCCAGGCTTTCTGTTCTTGAATATTCTCCAACAATGTCTGCAATTGTATGTACAGTGTATGGAGCCTGGGGGTGGGTCCTCTACATTCAAATAATAAACTCACACTGACTGAGCAGGCAGATGTAAAGAAAGGAGCTTTGATGTGGAGGCAGAATGCTCTGGAAAACTCACCATCTGTAATAGAAGGTGTGGGTGAGGACTTTTTCTTAAATAGAAAGTCATAAAATCAGCTGGTCATTAATGTTTCAGCATATGCATCACTAACCCCCCCCCCCACCCAACCCCCCAACCATTGGCATGACAGCTCAGTGGTTAGCACTGCTGCCTCATAGTGCCAAGGACCTGGGTTCAATTCCAACCTCAGCTGACTGTGCATGGGTTTCCTCCCACAATCCAAAGATGTGCAGGTTAGGTGGATGGCCGTAGGGAAATGCAGGGTTACAGGGATAGGGTCTGCATGGGACGCTATCTGGACGATCGGTGTGGACTTAATGGGCTGAACGGCCTGGTTCTACACTGTAGGGATTCTACGAATTAATAAATTCAAAACCTCTTGTTTTGAGTAGAAATCTGGAAAGATAACAAGATGTATTGTCATTAGAGCCCCTTATTTCACACAATTACTACTATTCTTTGCAATTCAAAATTGAAACCATTGTTTGATATTTACGACACTTGGCTTTTTGCCCTTCTGCTCTAACAATGCTATTTCTCCAGTTTCAGTGTTGGCTGGCTATCCCATTAGACACTCAATGTAGAATATCAATTGCTACAAAATGCAACAGATGTTATGTTACAGTTAACAAAAAGTTCTTAATTTATGCTAAATTTAGCTGCTTGGATTTCTATACAAAGTGCTTATTAGGCCAAGTGGCTGTACATTCTAATTAGCATGAGTACATTAGTGGACTCACAAGTACATTTGTAATCGCAAAACTGAATTAACAGAATGCTGAAGGTGGGCCGTAAAAGTGAATCATTTCTGCAGGTTTCATTAATCCCCATTGCCCTGCCAACTTTCAGTGGTTTGGAACTCACCCATCTCACTAAAATGGTGTTGTTGTATCTTTACAGCATCAAGGATTTAAGAGGCTGATTATTGTCAATTGTATTATTAACAATGGCCTAAGGTGGTTAGTTAGGAAACATGAGAGGGATTTTGACATCACTGAATATCAATCCATGTTTGGAATAGATTTTCCAGTCTCCATTTGCTGGGATTGTCTACACCAGAAGAGGGAATTACACTACAGCCAATTCAAAGTTCACCTTATTCTTCATTCAAAATGAGCAAGTATTGCCATTGTGGTTTCTGTTTCCCAGCTGTTAAAGGCGAGGGCAAAGTGAATATGTAGATGATTACTGGCTTGTATTTGCAGAAATTATTCCTCTGTTACCTTCAAATGATATCTCAGAATCCTTTATGTCTACCTCCTTGTATCCAGGAAAGGCTGAAATGAATTTTGCGAAGGTTTTATACAAAAAAGGAGCAGATAGTCTATTGGAGTAAACTGTACCACTACAAATTCATGAGTATAATTTCATTTTCAGATGGTATAAAGATGACGAGCTATTAGAGTTTTCATATCCTGGTTATATCTCCATGAACCGGAATAAGCTCACCATCATTGCCAATGCAATCAATCAAGGAACCTACACTTGTCTAGTGAAGAAAAAAGACAAAATTCTTACAAAATATTCCTGGCGGTTAATAGTTAAAGAGTAAAAGACGTTAAACATATAGTGACTGGGTACACATTATGTAACAAATTTATTGCACCGTGATTGTTTCATTGTGGAAATTTCCATTTATGGTTTGGATGTTTGTACAGTGATCTTTATTAAATCGGATGGCTTTATTTTATCAAAAGAGTATCTTGTTTCTCACAAGGCCAGTAAATTAACTGGGTTTGGCCATAGGTAGAGTGCTACTATTCCCAATCAATGTCTTCCTAAAGACTGAAGGATGTATAAAGTAATTAGAGTGAAGGGAGCTTCCAGCTTCCATCCTCATGCAAGCTGTATGTCAGCTGAGAATGATGAACACAACACTGATCAGAAATGGCTAAGTAGGCAAGCTGTTACAGTATAGCTTCAACACTGACATTTGCCTACATATATGCCATGCATAAAAGGCAGTACAAAATCCAATCAGTGCTACTAAACAGGATCTGCTCAGCTCCTGACCTAATTACAGCCCTACTTTAAACATAGACAAAAGAGCTGAACCCCTGAGATGAGTGTGTCACATGCAGCTTTGGTGTCAATAGCAGCCAGAGTATGTCATCAAGGAGTCCTAACAAAACTGGAGTCGATAGGAATCGTAGAGAAAACTCCCCTAAATGGAGTCATACCTGGCACAAAGGAAAATGGTTATGATTGTTGGAGGTCAGTCATTCAACTCCAGGACATCGCTGCAGCTATTCCTCAGGATAGTGTCCAACCATTTCTAGCTGCTTCATCAATGATATTCCCTCCATTGTAATGTCAGAAGTGGGGATATTTTCTAATCAACCTGTTCTGAGATGTTATCTCACACTTCTGGAGCAGGGGAGTCTTGAACCTAGATCTCCAGTACACTACCACTGTGCCACAAAGTCCTGTAGAAATGGGGATGTTACTGATGATGATGACACAGCTTTCAGCAGCCAGTCTGCCATTTGTGTGCTTGACTGTACAAAGCAGCAGCAAGTTTCATGTTAAGGTCTCATTAACAATAGACATTTTTTCTGATTGATTGAAAAGCACAAGCCTGGTTCAACAAAGTCCACTGGAATCTTTGCAACCAAATTCTCTGAACCACCTTTTAAAAGTAACCAGCTTTGGGTTGCATAATTCTGGTTACAATGTTCCTTTTTAATAGCTTTCAAAAGTCTCTTTTGTTAAAAAAACACATTTAATTTGGGGACATTCTTTACACCCAAAGTGTTTTTTTAAATAATCCCTATTACTTCCACAGGGCAGTCTCCTGTAGAGTTGCACTTTAGCTTTGATTCCATGTTCACATGTAAACTTATTAAAATTCTGTAGTCGATTATCAAGCTATGGGCTATGCAGTCCAAAAATTGTGTTCTGTCCCATTACTTAATCCTAGAAAATGTATGTCGATTGTTTGTTCAATGGAGAAGAGATCAGCAAGGAATCCTGAAGGTAAACATTTTCTTCTTAAAGTTTAGAATATCAAAAAAACAAAACCGGTACCTCAGATGCTGTTTCAAATGTCTGAAAACTAGACCCGACTTCAGAAGTAACACAATGGATTAAACAGTTTATAGTAACCATGAGATTACATGTTACAGATGGTTAACAAACCAGATGTTTTTCTTTGTTAGATTAGCAAATGAATTTAAATCTTATTTTGGTGACCACTGGATATGTCTGAAATATAGCACAACCTAATTGAGCCAGATAGCTCTCACTACACACTTTTCTGGGGTAATACAGTTTATTTAGTTTGAATTCTGGACCTTGAAGCCTATACCTACAAAAGACTTTTTCAAATCCATGTCCTCACGTAGACAAGTTCTTTAAAAAATTCATTAACATTATTGAATTCAAAATCCCCAGAACATTATCTGGGTCTCTGGGTTAACAGTCCAGTGACAACGTCACTAGGCCTTTGCCTCACCCTTGGAGAGTTCCAATTGAAGAACTAAACTATGTTCAGAGTTCAGTTCTGCGGACACTTTTAGGGATTCCTTCTGATAAATCTACAGCTTTACTAATACAGACCAAGATTCAAGACAATACTCTAGATGTATAGCACATCACAGCTAAATACAAGCAATTCTGAAGAAGTCACCTCAAACTCAAAACTTTGAACTGTTTGTTGAGGTTGGTCGGCTTGCTGAGCTGGTTCATTGTTCCGCAGACATTTCATTACCCTGCTGGGTAACATCAGCTACGTAGACAATACCGTTGTCATTATTAAACGGACCAAACTAATAAACAATACCCTCACCAGAATCAAATTTACCAGTGAGGAGGAGAAGAACAAATAGCTCCCATTCCTAGATGTCATGGTAGAGTGCTGGACAAACAGGGAATTCCTAACGAAGGTACACAGGAAAGCCATACACACTGACCAAGTACTGAACTTCAACAGCAACCATCCTAACCACACAAGTGAAGCTGCGTGAGAACATTATTTAAACGGGCAGCACAGAGAAAAATACCTCTTCCAGGTGTTCAAGGACAATGGATATCCGAGAAACTGGGTCAGAAGATGTCTATTACACAAGCGAAACCAGGAAGATACTACACACTCATCATGCTACCTTGCATCAGAATAGCGCACGAACCCTCATCAATCCTATGACAACTGCTCACCCAAACCAAAGACCCACTACCTACTACAGACAGGACCAACGTCATATACAAGATTCCCTGCAGAGACTGTGACAAACACTTATTCGGGCAAACAGGAAGGAAATTAACAAGGGTACACGAACACCAGTTGGCTACAAAAAGACACAACCAATACTCACTCATCTCTATCCACATGGATAAGGAGAACCACCACTTCGATTGGGACAACACCAAGATCCTGGGACAAGCATGGGAGTTCCTAGTAGCCTGGTACTCCACAAAGAAAGCCATCAACAAACACATAGAACTCGACCCCATATACACTCCACTGCAAAGGAAAACCAGAAGTGAGGTAATCCAGCTCAACAGACTCCAGAGTTTAAATACCAGGCAGGATAACACAACAGTGCTTCATCGGAAGCTGCACTGATGATGTTACCCAGCAGGGTAATGAAACGTCTGCAGAACAACGAACCAGCTCGGCGAGCCAACCAACCACAGCATCCACAATCCAAGCTACAAATCTACTCTTAAAACCTTTGAACTGTTTCTCTCCTTAGACACTACAGACCTGCTGAGTTTCTCCAGGATTTTGTTCCTGGCTGTAACATTACCACTTAACTATCTCATTTGCTCCTTTTATAGACTGAATGTGACCCTTTTAGCAACTCGTGTATCAACATTTCAAAGTGTCTTCTGCAAAATTATTAAACAAACATACTTGTGATACTTAACCTTGCTCTGCCTGCCCCCTAAATTAGGATCTCTTTGGGTTATCTCACATTTGATATTGTCTACGTTTAAACTCCATAAACATTACCCTGTACTGGGATCATTTACAGAAATTATAAACATACACAACTCCATGGTCAACCATTTGAAACACAAACAGCAAAGAGTGTAGGAAGTATTTATCCTTCAGCTGTATTAATCCAGGATAATATTCCTCATTTGGATGATGCAAGTTGTGTTTGGTTTGTTAGTTCACAGATGTTTCATTACCCTGCTGGGTAACATCATCAGTGCTGCCTCCTATGAAGCACTGTTATGTTTTCCTGACATTTAAACTCTGGGCTCCGTTGGAGTTGATTACCTCATTTCTGGTATTTCTTCACAATGGTGTGTATCTAGGGTCTAATTCTACAGAGTTTAAATACCAGGTGGGAGAAAACAGCAGCACTTCAGTGGAAGCTGCACTGATGATGTTACCCAGCAGGGTAATGAAATGTCTGCAGAACAACAAGCCAGCTCAGTGAGCCAACCAACCATAGCATCCACAATCTGAGCTACAAATCTACATCTTAGCATTCATTCCCTCAAACCGTATCCTTCCAAATGGATTCTTGTAATAATCCCTTACTCATGTCCGTTCCATTTTGTCACACTAGATCAGACTCCAACATCTGCAATTCAAAGGTCCATCACTTTTCAATCTAGAGGGACCTGAAGACTTGACAACCAGCTTTGAAAAATATCAATCAGGCTCTCAAATTTCATTACCATTTGTAGTTAATTTGTTAGTGTCTTGTTCATCTTCAGTTTCCTAAATCATGCCATTAAAAAACTTTAGTCTGCTGCACTCCTTCTCATACTCCCCTTTCGATGGGAAGGATGACACAATATTGACTTATTCTGCAGGCACCAATCTTCAGTCATTGTTAATAGTTCCACGCCCTGACTAATACTCCTAACATTTTTGCATTTTTCATAATACTGATATCCTATTATTTGCAATGTTTCCATCTTTTCCCATATGCAGATGAATACTAATATTATCTTAAGAGCCTAGTGTTTGTATTCTCCAGTTAAGATTCTGTAAAGACAGGCAATTCTTGCAATTCAATACTACAGCATAGAAGTTGTATAATCACATTTTCATGTAAGGAATCCAGGTATTTGTTTTAAATAGATGACCACCTTCTGACACACAAGTGAACAAATCGTTTTTAGAAAAAAATTCTACTACCTCCTTAGAGACCTGTCCAATTTTTTAATGTCTTGTCCCACCTCTCTCAAATTAATCAAAATTAAGAAAATGATGATTGCACGTATCGTATTCAAAATATATTAGCTCAGCTAGTTCTTTGATTCAGATAGCTAACTGAGTGCAAACCCAGAATCTCCACCTTGCACCTTTCAGAACAACATTTAGCTGAGTCTATATAACTAATTGCTTCACATTAATATATCAATGCAGAATGAACTAATACATAAAATTAGCTCCCTGCTCTGGAGCTCAAACCTATGCTGAGTTCAGCTAATACACCAAAGTAAAATGAACTTTTACTCGAGTTTATTTTTAAACTTACCAAAATTCTACATGTACACAAAATATTCCACTTTAACCAGTCAAGTTGAACAATTATTCTCCACATTGCAATTGACTTGATTGAATTATTTTACAAATGGATATTTAAAAGTTTTAAAAAACTGAAAGATGGAACTTGCTGACACACGATGCTGTACAAGAGATACAGCACAACTTCTACTAGACAGAGTTTAAGATACCAAACTTGAAAGGCATCTTTGAGCTACTGAATTGTCTTTCACCCTGATCTTCAAATAAAAAGTCAGTGCATTAGAACTTGAGGCTGAAACCTGGTCCAGCTGCAGAGGCTCCCTGGTTTGTGGTTGTCAGGTGGAAGCCTGTGTCTTTCAAATCATCATCACCCTGCAAAAAAGGGAAAGCGTAAGGGTGTTTACAAAGTATCCATTTCACTTCTCTCCTTTGTTATTTTTTCATGAGATCATGACTGCTACAAGTTTGTTCAAAGATGCTAAGCAAGAATTCTCTCCTATAGTAGACTCTGCTGTAACTGTAAAGAACTCAATACTGAGGCCAGGCCTGGCAGGTGATAAATCCAATTTCAGTCAACCTACTAAGGTGAACGCCCAACTGCATCTCAGAATAAAATTACCAGGCTTCAGGACAGGATCAATAAGCAAATATTATACTTCAAACCGTGACACTTTCCGGAATCATCCAACCCCGGTAATATGAACAGTTGCTGTGTTTTAATCTGTACCAGACTATTTATTAAATTTGAAATTTTGGTATGGACAACATCTGAAATGAAGAATATATAATGGTGCTGGGGAGCTATTTCACACAATGAAAGATTTTTGACTGTGTCCACTTGAATAATGGAGAAAAAGACCATGTACTTGTCCCAGTTGGTGATAGCATGGGAGTGTTTTGAGGCAAAACACATAGGTTCGAAAAAGATTGAGAATACAATGGAAAGGGAGTCAAAAGGGCTTTGAGATCAGCACAAAAGAATGGACTAATTGAAACATCATTTTAAAACATTGATGATCAAGTTTACTTCCTCTAATAAAGTAACTTTGTCTGCTGACCTTCATTTCACAAACACTCGCTGTCAAATCAACCCAGAACTCCATTAATCCCTTCGTGTGCTTCACCTGGATGCTGTTCATTCGTCAATAATTAACTGTTCAATGTATCCCAGGTAAAATTCTCATCCTAATTTATAAGTCCAGTGTCTCCTTTGCCCCACTATCTTCCAGCTTTTTCTGCATTAGAATCAAAACTGAACTGATTCACAATAGTCAAAGCCTCCTCATGTTTAACTCTGTTATTCAGTCTTCCTACATGGTTTCTAGTTTAGGTCTCCAAACACTTCTCGTTGCTTCCCCATTGGTTGTCCTACTATTTCGAATCCTCTCTCCAAACCAAGACAGTGTGCTAGTTCTCAGTATCTTAACTGACACTTTCATTCATTTTTCTTATTACAGTGAGAAACATTTATACCATTAACTATCTCAAGGGTTTTGGTGTTAAAATCCTTGTATAAATCCCAGTTATGCAGAAATATAAACACTTACCAGTTGACTATAACCAAGCCCACCCTCAGGGGGCCGAGGACTAGTGCCACGTTTAACTCGTTGCTGCTCACTCTTTGCAGGCCAGGTTGGGAACATGGCCGATTCTATAGGGAGTGGGGTCTCCCTGAAATACTCGTGTTTTAATGCTTCTTCAGCTGTAATTCTTTTAGCAGGACAATAAGTCAAGAATCTGTTTCAAAGAGAGAGAGAAAATTCTAGCCATCATGCAGATGTTGTCTCCCTGTATTTCTTTGCTGTCAAGATATCTGCACTCATCAAAAAATTAAACTTAAGAACACTCGATGTCCTCATTTCAAAGCCACACAAACATATTCAGATTGACACAAAATACTGTTCATCATCAAGTTGGTTGAAATTAAGCAAACATTAAATAAGGTTTAATAAAAATGGTTAAAAAGTTCAAATGCAGCATTTATTCAAATGAATTTTAAAACTTGTTTAAGCAGCAGTTATGGAGAGATTTAACATGTAGGTGCAATTTGCATCCTAATGACGTACAAGGTTGTTACCACCAAATCACTAGTTCCCAGTTTATATCATTTCAATCATAGAATCCCTATGGTGTGAAAACAGGCCCTTCAGCCCAACAAGTCCACACCAACCCTTAGCGCATCCCACCCAGACCGTACCCCTATAACCCACCTAACCTACACATCCCTGAACACTACGGGCAATTTAGCATGGCCAATCCACCCTAACCTGCACATCTTTGGACTGTGGGAGGAAACCGGAGGAAACCCACGCAGACACGGGGAGAACGTGCAAACTTCACACAGACAGTCGCCCGAGGATGGAACCGAACCTGGATCTCTGGTGCTGTGAGGCAGTAGTGCTAACCACTGAGCCACCATGCTGCTCTTTTGTCTTGCACTTTCAGCAAATAGGACTCTTGTGGCACAGTGATAGTGTCCCTACTGCTCAGCAGATTTTGACACCACACCTTAGGAAGAATATATTGGCCTTGAAGGGAGTACAACATAGTTGTATAACAAGAATGATACCTGAACTTCAAGGGTTATGTTATGAAGACAGGATTATACAAATCCAGCTGGTTTTCTGTAGAATTCAGAAGGTTATGGGGTGATCTGATCAAAGTCTTCAAGACATTAACAAGAAAAGCCAGGGTAAACAAACAATTTTTTTTCCACTGGTTGGGGATTGTAGAACTGAACTGGGGGGGGGGGGGGGGGGGGGGGGGGGGG